TTGGACTTGCAATAGTATTGTAATTACTGCTTAGAGTATTGTTGAAGGCTGTTGTTTCTGTCTTTCTAGAACCAAGTAATTAGAAAACCACATCCATGATTTGTAGAAGATTTGCATCAACAACATAAGACATGGCATAAAAATAATCAAAAATTAGGATTAACAAAGTGCTGTTATAAAACATTATTATGCTGTAATCAATCAATATTTTTCATATACTATAATTCTATTTCAATTCACAATATAGAATTGGGAATATCTGATTAATGAATAATATATGATTATATACAAATATAAAAAAATTTACAAATATAGTAACGAATTTCGAGCTTTTTGCGATAAATAAGATACTATTAAATTTATAATAGCACATTCATTATATTACGTAGGTAGTTTGAATTGATAATAATAGTTTGAAGTAATGATGAATAATGAATAATAGTAATGAAATATGATATCATAGCCACTTAAGAGAGATTTTGAACAAACGAAAAAAACATTTCTAAATACCAACTATGATTACTTATGATATGCGGCAACTAAACCCTACATGAGATGCAGACTTTAAAATTAATGAACTAATTTCGCTTTAATTTTTCTATTAGCCTTGACATTCATGAGGGCATACACCTACTTTAAGCTGGTACCTATTGTACAGACGCTGGAGGTGTAAATTTTCCTTTAACCAAATGAAAACATAATTATATTATTTAGTTCAATATATATTTCTTATCAGCTAAATATGATAAAAAACTATAAAAAAAATCTGATATAATACAACGATTGGAAGAATACATCCGTAAACCATTTTCATAAAAACCCCTCTTCATATATAGATAGAAAAGATAGTTTTTTACTTATATATAGATATATAAAAAACTCGACCTACAATAGTCCCGAAAACTTAATTCCACTTCCAATGTTGGAAGCGCTTCAGAATGTCATCGAAAAGCTGAGAACTGATAAAAGTATTAGAGCACCCACAATTGTTGTTGGATCCCTAAAATACGGAGATGCCTATCTAATGACACAAATTCATAAACTTATTGACTACATATGGGAAGAAATGTTTTAATAATTATTCCAATTTTTATATCTAATTACTCTTAGCCATAATGAAAACGATAAAATATACTGTTATACTAGACTAGTTGGGAATTATTGGTGTTGAATGTATACGAGTAATGCACACGAAAGAAATAAATCACAAGAGAAAATCAATACAGTAAAAATTTTCTTAAGTGTGTTGAATATAAGGAGACTATCTGAGAATAAACACAGGTATCACAGTATGATGAAATTTATGATGAAATTTAGAACCATTAGTTCTTAGAACCAATATACTTATTGACAGAGATTTTATAAATTGATCTCCTATAGTTTATGCTTTAATGGGATATAACAGGTTTTTGGTGGCTGAGAGTGATCTTAAATGAGCGACTATGGTGTGCAACTATACATGACCCTCTCGAAAATGAAATTCGACAACGGAAATATAGGTGGATTGGACACACGTTACGCAAAAGCACAAATGATGTAGCACATGCGGCTCTAACCTGGAATATGCAAGGCAATAGAATCCGAGAACGACTACGCAATTCTTAGCGTAGAACCATAAACAATGAAACGAATAAATCGATACGTGAAATGAGATATACCGCTCGAGATAGACAAAATTGGAAAACTTTTGTACAAACTCTTCGTGAATAGGCTAAGTTTATACAAATAAATATTGTACAGAACATGCCATAATAATAATAATAATAAACATTTTGAAATTTTTTAAAATCCTACACGAATAATATTTATATAGTAAATATTAAGTCTAAATACCTAAGAACGTGTATAAAAAAGATTAAAATCTATGAACATTTAAAAGAATTTTATTTAGATTCCTCTTCTTCTCTTCTATAAAGTATTATCAATGCATTATGGATATAAATTTCAATATATGTAGTACTGCAGATTCATGTGGTCAAAATATTTTGTTTTTTCATCAATTATATTGTAATAATCTTTTATTTAATAATAACTTATATTTTCTTTATAAATAAAAGAATTCACTTCATTCTTTTTTGTAGCTACTTTCTATTTTGTTCGTTGGCATAGAGATGATATATCATTAGTTGATTCAAGGCATCCTGAAACGACAGCATCTAATCGTATACATTTATTTTCGAATGGTAGCTTACAAGTATCCAATGTACGAGAGGAAGATAGTGGTGAATATTATTGTGAAATGATGGCTAATAACACGCATGCAGTACAAGTTCACGCTATTGAAGTACAATCGCCACCCATATTAAAAGCTGAACCTACGGGATTATTGGAATTACCTATTGGTGCTATTTTTGAATTGATTTGTGAAGCAAGAGGTATTCCACATCCTGCTATTACGCTGCTTATGAATGGTAGTAAATTTGATGAATACCATATAAGTAGTCGCCATAGCTTTCTAATAAAAGTATCATCGCGTTATATGACTGGCCCTATTGAATGTTTTGCTACCAATGGTGTTGGAGAACCAGCAACGGCGGGTGTATATCTAAAAGTTTTATGTAAGTACATACATACAATTGATTATTTATTATTTTAATGTACGTATTAGAAAATTAATTATATTTTATAAATTTAAACTCTGTAATTTAGATACTCCAGAAATTTCTAGTAAATCTGATATAGTTTACACAAAAATAAATGCTCGTGCGCAACTTGAGTGCATTGTCGAATCGAATCCACATGCAAATGTTCATTGGTTTCATAATGGTATTCCATTGACTTTTGATTTACGTATAACCCGTCATGATACGGAACTGAAAAATAATGAAAGCTTAAGTTCACCGTTCCTTGTAAGCAGTCATGTTTTAGTAATACGTAAAGTTCGCGATTCTGATATTGGATTATACGAATGCCGAGCTCAAAATAAGATTGGTTTCAAAAGTATCACCATCGATTTGACTGGTAGACCTATGCCATGTGCTTTCAAGATAAATACCGGTGAACAAGGCTCAACGTCACATTTATTGGTATGGCAAACAGAAAGTCTTTCACCAGTTACAGACTTTAAATTAAAATTTCGTCAAATCACTTCAGGTAAGTGTGCTAAAACATTTTATCTCTCAATTTAACTAATAAAGACTGGTTTTGTTCTAGAAAATAAGACCTTACAAAGAAATCAAAATGTTAAATGGACTGATCTAACTATACCATCCGATATTGCAGTAGGTAAGTTATAAAGTTGTGCGCTATATTATTATAAAATATTTTTTAAAACAAACTTATATTCATTTATATTAAGAACTAAATATTTGTCTAAAGAACTTACTTATCCCGCCCGTAAGAAAATAGTACACTTAATAAGAATAAACATAGGTCATTTTTAATTTAGAAATTTATTATTAATTAATCAATTTTGTTCTTCTTTGCATAAGCCGTAAGATATAACTCCACCTATCGCCTAATGCCTATCGCATATCAGATATCCTTCATGTAAGCAACTTTCTTTCTTCTGTCAATACAGTAACTTCCAAAATAAGTTAATAGAAAAATCGAGACTTTATGCACTCACAAATGTGTGTTTTTAGTCCATCAATGTACCAAAACTTGTATGCGGTCAAAATAGTGCATCAAATGAGATTTGGACCTTTGATCCATGAGTTATTATTACCCGTAATTTATCTAGTTTACGTTGGTAGACTTTCGTCACGGATAATACATTAAGGTCATAGTGTAATATTATAAGTTTTAATAATGATATTATTAAGTCTAAGTTGGTAAACTTTCTTCACGGATAATACACGAAGGTCATAGTGTAATATTGTAAGTTTTAATAATGATATTATTAAGTCTTCTCTTTTTCCTTTTTTACACCGTATAAATTTTAATTTGTACTACACATCTATAGAGCTAGAAAATATCATCTGTGAGGTTAAACGTCCATGCTATGGTGTTCATGAACTCAGATTTAACACAGCCCTTCCAATGGTAATTTTTTCTACGGGTATTAAACAGAAGTTCATACAGTATTATATCTGAGTTGACAACTACGAATAAAACATGAAGATTAAACACTCATTTTGATATCCCTCCTGCTTATGATGGACTCGACAGTAACGAAATAGCCGACTTACTTGCAAAGGAGTTAATGCGCTAACTCACTTCATAGGACTAGAAAATTGATTAAAGCCTTTAATACAATAGATGCAAATACTGTTGTTAGTACTTATACTAATTATTAGAGTAGTCAGTGGCTTATATAAAGGATATGCGATAAGCGTTAGGCGATAGGCGGAGTTATATCTTACGGCTTATGCAAAGAAGAACAAAATCGATTAAAGCCTTTAATATAGTAGATGCAAATAGTTAGTACGTATACTTATTGTTAGAGTACTCAGTAAAACATCAATTGCATCATATATAAAGTTACTAACAATCAATATTTTAATAATATGCTTGTAAAATAATTTTAGGTCCAATTTATACTGCATCATATACTCTACGAGGGCTTCAACCTGCCAGCATTTTTGAAGTTATCGTACTAGCCCGTAATCATTTCGGGTGGAGCAGTGATAGTAAAACAATAAGATTCACAACAGGAGGTGAAGGTATGTTTTAAGACTTCATTATTCAACTACTAATAATAGAACATAGAACACTTTAGTTCAATTTACTTTTCAATATACATAATTTAAATTAATACTATTGACATTTTTTTACAGTTGAGTTGCCAAATTATTCCACAGAATCTGAAATGACTGAGGAAACTTTTGATGAAATTAATGAAGTTGAACAAGATTCGCATATATCTTCAGGTTGCTTAGATTTTAGAATTTCTGCTAAGTTATTCTATGTTTTACTCGGATTTATATATATACTAAATAAAACTTTTTTCACTAAATCATAATCATAATGTATTAATAAATTTCTTTAATAAAAAATTAGTTTATTTTTTTATATTTAACATTTGTTATAATTTTTAATCTTTAGAAGATAATCTCTGGTTTAGTTGGAATAAGCTTATGTTATGAACATAAAATCGGAGTTATTTTAACTTATACGATATATAAATAATCTTTAAATTTTATAATGATTAGAATTATTTCGTTTCGTCATCTAATTCGTTACAGCTCTTAGAAATAATTTGGGCGCTGGTGCTACTTATACTAGATATGTGTTCCGGAAGTAAATCTAAACTTCGACATCGCGATAGTGAGGATCGGTTGTTATTTGTAAATTTGGAGATGAGATTGCAGTTGTTATGATGTTTTGCAATTAAAATAGAATCATCTTTTCCCATTTGCCAATTTTCTAACAAAATCCTACGATTTTCACAACGTATTCGATCTGTAATCATTGAACGTGTTAACTTCTCTACTTGGTCATTAGTTTGCGTTGCTAATTCTTGAACTTTGTGTTCCAATTTTTTTTTATTCTTAACTATAAGTTTTCTTAAAACTTTTCTATTGCAGCTAATTTCATTTTCAATGTGTTTAAAAAATGGACCACAATAACAAGTACTTCGTGTACTTTGGGGGCCTTTTCGTATACGTCCAGCTAAATCTAAATAATACTGTTCTCCTTTTTTAAGTGGTTCTTTTGGTAAAGTTTCAAGCTTTGGGGAGGGAAACGATTGAAGATCTGGAAAATAGTGACAACCATATGGCGACCAATTAACTTCCTTCACAATGCCTAATTAAGAATTAAATAGTACAGTATATATAAATTTAATCATAATATACAATTATAATTATATTTACCGGTTTTATGAGATACTTTTTGGCAATTGCTTAAAATATCGAGAATTTCACCATTATTTTTTCTGATAGAAATATCTCTAGGAGTTTCGTCTTGAGCATTCGTTACATCTACATTACAATTAACTTCTAATAAAAGTCGTGTGAGCTTTCGTTTTTCCATTGCACAGCTTATGTGTAAAGGTAAGTCTCCATTGAGGTTTGGTATATTTGGATTACAATTGGAAGAAAGTATTATGCGTGTCGCTCCGGCATGACCATAACGACAAGCAGTATGTAGTGCTGTGTCTCCGTACTGTTATTGTTAAATAATTAATAATAATAATAATATCTATGTAACAAAATTTATAAATGCGTACTAAATTTTGAATATCCGGATCTATACCAGCCATTAGTAACTCTCTGCAGCATTGGTTGTGACCATTTTGAGCAGCTAAATGTAGTGCTGTACACCCTTTGTCATTTTGTACACTCAACAAATTTATTACTATCGATTCATTTGCTTCCTTATTTGACGACTTTTTACATTTTGTTTTTGACTTATCCACAGGTATTGCACAAAGTATTCTCACTGAACGGCTGTAACCTCGTAACGCCGCTTCGTGCAATGGTGTGTTTCCATTAGCAGTCTTTGTTGTTCGAGACATATTTTGGTTAACCAAAATTTGTAACTGCTTATCATCGCCATTAAGTACGGCTTCGTGTAATGCCGACTTGTAGGTATCATCCTAGAATTTTAATGAAGACGAACTAATTTAAATAAAGTCATAACATTTATTTTTGCTTTGTAATTTCAAGATTTATATAAATACTTTAAATATGATTAATTCTTTTTATTTGTTATTGACATGTTCTAGCATTACATCAAAGGGTTAAATTAAGAACTTATTCTATTTACATATGATTTCCACAAATCTCAGTTTCTAGCTATATGTCTTAACTTATTTAATGTTTTATTCGTTTTCTTATTAACGCTTCTACGTCATATCATCTTGGGGCATTCTCTATTTCTTGCACCTTGGGGGTTTCATTGTAGGGCTACATGTACTATTTCGTTTGCGTCCTTCCGAAGGGCATGTCGAATACACTTGTATTTAGTTTTTACTTAACTTATTAATATTTATTCTTACTGTCGTTGTTGAAACTAGATTTTGTGGCTGTATTTTTATAAAAAAAAATCTGTATAAGAAATGTTGGCCTTTCTTCAGAAATCAATATTCAATGATATACAAATAATGCTCTAATTATTCTAATTTATTAGAATGCTCTACTACTTGGCAATGACTACTTGGCAATACTCATAGATTGTTTCTTTGATAAAAATATTAATTTAACTGAAAAAGAATTGAAAACAAATTATCTATGAAATGCTAAAATCACTACCGGACAATATAATATCGTTTTTAAAAGTATTATCACCATTTTTTAGGTTATGTTAATATTGAAATAAATTATATGAATTATTATTTTTTACTACATTTACCTGAATATAATTTGGTAATGTATAAACCTGTGCTAACTCCAAATTCAGATTTAGTCCGGATCTCCTAAAAAAGAAATAATATAAATACTTATTTAATAAATAATTGTTTTAAAGAAATTAGTGATATTACAAAGAAGAAGAAGTTATAGGGAAGAGTAATGAAAATGTTTTGAAGGAAGTAACTTCAAAATATTCCATTATGTTGAAATTGGTAATTTTTTATTTAAATCGGTAGTAAAGACCAATTCGAATAAAATAAGCTTGATATGTTTAGTTTTAAAAAGTTAAAAATATATTTAATTAAAATATTATTTTATTATTTGAAAACAATATTATTTTACCAATATTGCGAAAATTTATTATTGTTATATTACTTTTTGAATATATATATATATATATATTTACCCTGCCTTAGTAAAAGTTGGTATAATAACTTGCCCGAATTATCGGTTATGTTATCATATAACCGATATTATATGTGAAGGAAGGAAAGGAAACTATGAAGGAAAAATTTTTTTATGATTTTAATCGTTTTAATGTGTTTTCTGAATATTTCTTGGTATTACAGCTTTATAACTACTGAAAGTAACTGTTATACTAGTTTTACTGCATAATCAAGATTGACATCCATTGAAAAAATGATTAATTTGTTAACTTGATTTAATTCATTTGTTGTTGACTCAATTTTTTATAAAATATACTTAAGGTATTGCTATTATTATTATTAGTAAATCCGAAAGCCTGCAGAAATCTTTTGATAGTAATGAAATCATCGGTTAAGAATGGTTTTCAAGTTAATGTATTATATTATTACGGCACACGGAATCTTATATTACGGAATCTAGAAACAAATCCTACTATCAACTTTTTGAATATAGCAATTTTATAAAGTAAGGAGATATATTATATATGAATAATAAACAATGAACCACAGCACCAAAAACTTTGTAAACATAGTGCAAGTGCATTTCTTTACCTTGATTATATTATATTATTTGAATAAAATAACAATACTGTTATAATAACAATTGAATTAATTAATATGCATTAACATGGAATATTACTCAATTGTCATATAAAGAATACACGATTGACAGCTGTTCAGTGTAAGCATTGTAAGCGGGTTAGCACATAAAACAGGTAGAAGAAATTCAGTCGACGATGTTTGACCATGATACGTGTCTTTGAAAAAAGAAACGATTTAAAAAAATTCTTTAAAAAAAATTAGGTGACTCTGTCTCAGGAATACAACTTCAAGCACTCACTCTAAACATCTATGTGTGGCTTACGTTTTTGCAGTCACATTCTCTGCTACTGCCAGGAATCTGGACCAGGAGGAGATCACTGGTTCGAGAACTACTCTTCCCTTCTGACATTAGGAGGTCCTCAACGGCCGACATTCTGGCTTTCATTTGGTAGTCGAAATGTCTTCTGTTCGGTTAGGGTCTGTTGCAGCACAAAATATCAACCATGGTCACAGTGCTCCGCTCTGTTGGGAGCTGGTACCCCGTTTATTTCTATTCCTACTTTTAACTGAATTAACTTTAACCTTACCTAATTTATGCCTTTAATTTTATGTTTTATATAGATCTGTGATTTAGTCTTATTAAGACACCTTTAAGAAACTCTTCTATTGTTATGAATTTTGTCTGTTTCAGTTCTGAACTATTAGATCAAAGATTAAAAAAAATTAACCCATTTACTAATAACTCTCGACTGTAACAAAGTCCTCTTTTGGCTTATATAGGCCGTGTGCGAGTTCGAATAAATTGATGGTAAATTGAGGGAAATAGTATATTATGTCGGTATGGCAGCGAATGCTGTTATTTACCCGAATTTCGAATAGGGTAAATTATGTGTTACCATTGTGAAAATTTTATAATTTTTAATAAATAAATTTAAAAACTTTAACCAAAAATAATAAATAAGTACAATAAATAAATAAATAACTTTTACATAAGTGCAGTTCTAATTTATTTTACCTCAATTTACTCGAATTTGCACACAGTCATAATGTAAAGGTGCGCGTGCGCATCTTCTTACATTAAACAAACATTTTTTAAATAATTAACATTTTTTCTTTAATGCTTTCTATTAAGTATGATGGCAAAAAATAACAGATATTTGTTTTTATTTATATACATCACTTAATCGTAAAGAAAATCTTCACACTAATAACTATTTGTGTTCAATTGCGATCGTTTTTAAAAGGATTTTTTACACAAAAATGCTGGCTTACTAATAGTTTAAGATGGCACATGTTTCATTTACAATTTGGTTCCTAATACTTATATTTTAACTAATATTTCAGTTACTTCAATAATAATGCGTTATTCTTGCAAATATTTCTTATGAAATAGTTTTTGGTTTGCAAGAATATATAAAACTGTTGGAATTAATAATTAAAACTTGCCTGCTTGCTGCCATTTGTAAAAATTTTCTTCGTTTGTATTATCACATATATTTCAATTATAAGCTTCAATTATTCCAATATCTATTAGTGTTTTTCAATTGTTTAATACAAAACATAATTTCTTTAAATATATTTATTTTATTATATTTTAAAAACATTTTAACATCTTTATGTGTACATATAAGAGATTTGCTTGTATACAATTTTGTTTTCATGCATTTTACGTATTTCAGTCTTCTTTCTCTCAACTTGTTTTTGCATTGCTTGACATAACCAAAATTTCAATATTGTTTTATAATCAAAATATAAAATATTACTGTGTGAAATCATTAATCATAATTGTAAAAGAATAAAGTACAATATTGAATTTAAAGTTAATTATTAATAGAATATATACACGTACTATATGTGTATATATAGTATGTATGTGTAAAGAGGGAACTAAAAATTTATTTTATAAAAAAACAAGTAGAATTAAATAAATAATCATAAAAACGATTAAAACTTTTATTTTATATTACATGATATAATTATTTTATTTATCATATTTAAATTATGTACAATCCGCGTATATATTAACATAATAAATAAGCTTTTATCAGTGAACAAAAGTCAGGCAGTATAAACAGAATATCGGCTAATATAACATCTTTCAGAGAATTACTCGAATGCGACAGGTTCTGTATTCTGAGACAATTATAATAAACAATTACATTAACATATGCATCTGTATCAAACATATATAGAAGGGATTACTATATTCTTCGACAAAAAAGAGTAAGGTCAGATAACAAAGTCTTAACGCTTGTAGAGTAATGCCATGTTTCTACTTCTTACTTATACTATATTCAGATGCACCTTAATTTCGCAAAAATCGCAATTTCATCTTCATTTCAGCGAAATTAAGTTTTTTTTTCCATACCAAATTCAGTTTTAAGGTTAGAACGCAATTAAGGAAAATGGACTTAATTTCGTTGAAGCGAAGTCTAAAATTAAGGGAAATTTTATATGCAAGTATGCGTAAGATAAATTTTAAGCAAAAGATAAAGTTGAGATCACGAAAAGGTGACATTTTTTTTAAATTAAATGTCAGTGACTTAGTTGACTTTAATGAAACCGGGAAAATAATTTAAAAGTAGTGCAAACTTTTTAAATTTGAATAGAGAGAAAAAACTATGACTGTTATTAATTTAAAATAGAGTAAAAAATAATAATTCACATACCTTAAATTCACCAAAGCTAATAAAACTACTGAATGTCATCCTTTATAGTTTTAATAATCAACTTTTAAAATTTCCTAGATACAAATGGTGTTCGAAACATATAATATAATTCATATGCAAATATATTTATTATAAGCTGAACATTTTAATTAATGTATACTTTACCATTATATAGATATTAAACAGACTGTACAAAATAAAGGGATAATATTGGAAGTTAAAACTATACACCACTGCTCCATAACAACAAAACAAATAAAACCCTGCCAAATTTATTCACCAATTGGAATCTGTCAAAAACTTATAGCTGGTAACACCTTATAATTGTAAACCTAAATTGTTCGCAGCTGTTAAAAAAAGTTTATAGATTTTAGTTTATTTGCCGTGAGAATATTGGTGCTGTAATTTATTTTTGAATGTTTTGATAATTAAATCTTAAATATCTAAAGGTAAAGTTTGTAATGTATAGTTATGAATAAGCCAATTTATGCTTATAAACGCAATAAGTGAAGCCCATTCGTATCAACGCAGGGTATGTGTGTGTATATGAATTTTTTAGATAATTATATACAAACATTTCTTAAGAAATATATTGCTTCCAGTTGTGCCAAATTAATTGTAATTGTACCTCTATCCATTTACTTCAGCAAGTCATGGCTATTTGAGTCATTTAATATTAAAATAAATATATGTGTTTATCTGTTTTGACATTCCATATCGTAGAATAACCACAAACATATTTTTTAATTTTTTTAATATCACATTTCCCTGGTTTTAAATGCTAGAGAGAAAAAAAAGCGTGGCCTATACTACACAAAATATTTTATTTATATACATATATATATTCGTTGAAGCATTCAATTGTATTTTATTTGAAAATCATTTTTCTTTTTATACTGTTTCATTCGTGCATAAATATCATCAGCTCCATTGAGGGTTAAGCGAATAATTTCTATCTGATTATGGTGATATTGAATACGATATAATATCAGAGTTTGGTTTAGGCGTGTTTATAAATAATCGCCATTTTTGTAATGTTTTCAAACGGTCTTCCGTGTAACCTGCCATTTCCAAGTTGTTTGGGCATTCCTAAAGATAGCGGCAGTGACGAATTGTTGCCAGTCAACATGACCAACCGTGAGCCTGTTATATTAAATGTTTACGATATGGTAAGTATGTTAACCAAAAATTTAAATATTATTTAATTAGAATATTTTACAGTATTGGATCAACGAATATACAACTTCCATTGGACTTGGAGTATTTCACTCTGGCGTCGAAATATTTGGAACAGAATTTGCGTATGGGGGTCATCCTTTTCCTTTTACAGGTGTTTTTGAAATAACTCCACGTGATCACGACGAACTTGGAGAGCAATTTCAATTCCGTCAAAGTATACAAATTGGTTGCACTGATTTTACATACGAAGAAATTCGACGCATTGTGGAAGAATTAGGAAATCAGTTTAGAGGTGATCGTTATCATCTTATGAATAATAACTGCAACCATTTCTCAAGCTCTCTAACACAAGTAAGTAATATGTTAATTTAATTATATGTTAATAAAATTGTATTAATATACGGATGTAATTTATTCAAATTACAGATATTATGTGGCCAAGAAATACCCAGTTGGGTAAATCGACTAGCGCATTTTAGCTCTTGTGTGCCATTCTTGCAAAGATGTTTGCCAAAGTAAACAAATACAATAATATTTATTTAAATATTCTTAATTTAAACATTATTAATTTTGTAAATTTATAGAGAATGGTTAACGCCAAATGCCTTGCAGCAGAGTATAACTGCATTACAAGATCGAGATGAATCTGATACCAGTCCGCTTTGAGTGACTTCAAAAATTATTCACAACTCGCAAAATTTTATTAAAAATTTGAGTATGATATTTTAGAGCGTAATACCGTTAGTCCTTCAATATATATTATTAAGTTAAGTAAATTAAAATTATTAATTGTAAATTTAAATTATTTACTATATTATATTTTCTCATCCATAGTTGATATATATTTAAATATATATCTAATATATATATATATATATATGTATATGTATATATATTTGTGGCTTTATATTTTATTTGTATTAAGTATATTCTGACGCAAAGTTGAAATGTAATAATATATATTGACACATGCAATTTCTTATGCATTCGATAGTTAATAAAAATGATCATTTTGTATATTGTAAATTTCTGAAAACGTTCTGAATTTATTGTAATGTAAGAATAATGTCGTTAAGTACAATATTCTTAATATATCATTATCCATTATTGACGTAAGTCACATTCATATATATATATAAATAAAATATTAAAACGTTATGATCAGGTTATATCGCAATTAATTAAGTATTTTAACGTATGTACAAACTTTTAAATGAAACAATATGGTTTTATTTACAGTAATTTATATAAAAATTATATTAAGTAATAATGTATAATAATAGTCCACTTTTATTAATATAATAGAGCTAAAAACGACAGCCAAAATAATGTGACTTTTATTATATGTATTAAAAAATAAGTTATGCTATAACGTCGTAATGATAACATGCAAAAATAATAAAGTTCTTATTTTATTTGTTTTTACTAAATATACCATTTCATGCGATGCAAAATAAATGTTCGTATATTTTATAAAATGTATAAATTGCAAAAATGATCCAAACGCTCAAAATTTTCTTAATAATTCTCTTACAAAACTTTGACTTTAATATATTTTCGAATAAAATATATTAGTTTCGATTACGATACACATATAAATATGTAGCTTATGCTAAAATATTTATAAATAATTTTTTTAAATTTTCAAAACGGTATTTTAAGTTAAAATTTTATTAATATTATTTACCATACAATATATCATATTACGATTATTTAAAAGGATGACTTAAGTAAACCGCTCTCCAATGATCGATTTTTAATTAATAGGACAAATGTTTATAATGTTGCAATAAATAAATTTATTTATTTGTTTAACCTTAATTTGATACACATTTATTGCATATGAATAAGTTTTATACTTTTTGCAAATTTTTTTTACAATTTGCAATATTGTTATTAAACATGGAATAATGACATAATATTAACTTTTTATTTTTTTTTCCTAAGTACTAATGTTGATAAATAAGTTTAATTGTAAAATCTGTACTTTCCAAAATTCTCAATATTGTTGTCAGTACGGTCACGGCATTTAGTTTTCATATTAATATTAAAGTGTAATTTGTGTACTATAGAACAATTGCAATTGTAATAATTATAATAACAAATGTTAGAAATTATCGCACAATCACTGAAAGAGTGACAACTTAAAATATTACAGATTCGTCCCTATTATGTAAAAACTTTCTCATGCGCATCTCCATGACAAATTTCTTACGTTACAATTTCTGCCAACTAACAGTTAACAGTCTGGTTTTACAATTGACATTAATTTAAGACTCACACATAGTTTTTGTGTTGCATTAACTGAAATTTTCAGTTATCTAAATTTGTTTTAGTGGACGTGCGATATATTGTGATGCATGACAGTTTATATTTTTTCAATATAGAAATCGAATTAACAAAATGGTTATAATCTACTTAGATAATAATTAATTAAATTCAAGCAAAACTAAAATATAATATTAAAATTAATACAAAGAGCATTAAAGTTTAAAAAAGAGTTAATTAAAAGAGTGTATTTCTAGCTAAATCTTGTTTAAAATTTTTTAATAATTCTAGAAATTTTTTTTAATGATCCAATATATCATGTCACTTTATATGAGACCACGTTTCTTTTTATAATCTTCTAAATTTAATGAACGCTTCGGAACGACATCATTCATCTTAGGAGTAGGTTTAGGTAGTACATTAACTGAGCTCACTAAAAAATAAGAACATACGTTTAATGTAATTTTATATTCATAAATATTAGTTTTATTACCTGGAACAGTAACTTCTAAATCTATTTCAAAATCATGTAGTGAATATAGATTGTAATCTTTAGATTCTCCCGTTTTAGAGCTGCTTGCCCCATTTTCATCTGGTTTTTTCTTCATAGGTTGAGAGTCTTGATTATGTGATGGCTCACTTACTGTTTCATCGTCCTTCTTCTCGTTGGATTTAAATCCCATACGAGGTTGTGTAATTCGTCTGGTAAATGGATCTGATATTTTCATACCCTTATTAGCACGTGCTTCTTCTCTTATAGCTTTTTCAGCATCTTCAACATTTCGTTTTCGATTACGATCATTAATATACGCAATTAAACTGAGGCTACTTGAACGTTTCTTATCTAACTCTGATGCTCTGGTCTCAAGTTCTTCTATTTGCTGACCGAGATCCAATGCTACATCATAATCACCTTTTAACATGGCGGCATCACGTTCTTTCATTAAACAAGTTTTTCGCATTGCATAATTAGTTGGCCTGTTACGAAAACGATTTTTTTCTTCAACTATTTTATCAACATCTTCATCTTTGTACTCGTAATTTAAAGCTTTCTTTATGTCCTGTTGCTTACGATCTATCATGTCAATTGTTGGCATAGTCACATTTTGTTGAGCGCACATATCTCGCCATTTTTCAAACTCGTTTACTGTGAATTCTTGATTGGATATAAATTCCAAACGGAAAACTCGTTCCTGTGTACCATGTTTGAGTCGTAGTCCACGATTAGTTCGAGTCTTTCCGAGAGTGTAAACTTTTGCGGTCTCAACTACTCCCACAATTTCAGCAACTCGATAAACAGGCTTTTGACCATTATTACCAATACTAATTCGTACAAAGCAGTTAATTACCGTTGGTTCGAAAATTGGTAAATTAACAAAACGTTCCATTTTGAAACGAGACAAGCGTAATTTATTTAAATCCTCTCTAGTATTTATATATTCTAGTTTTTTCACATCTTTCTCTTCTTCTTCCGATTCGCTAGAATCCTTACTAACGCTGGTTGATCGTGATCTTTTTCCTGCAGGTTTTTCATCATCCCAATCACTACTTCCCGAATCATCAGAATAAATTTCAGAAGCTTTCAGTTTAACAGCAGACTTGCCACCTGACACACTTTCTAATTCTTCTTTTTCTTCTTCACGATCACGCTCTGCTTGTCTTCGTGCCTCTTCCTCCTCTGTAAATATATATAAAATTTGAATTCTTCTATTTCATATTTTCATATCATATCAATATCAATTTCTACATAAAAAACATTGAAAAATCTCAGATTGTGTAAAATAATAGAATTAATGATAATTATTAATAAAAAAAAATTAGATGAGAACTATTTCAAACGAATTTTAAGATAAAACTGCGGAATAATACCATTTCTAAAATATATTTTTAATTAAACATTATAATTAAAAAAATTACGTATTCTTAATTTTAAGGTAAAACTCACATATAGTCTTTGTGAACTAAACAATGTAAATATTGCATTTTACGAATTAACAATATTCAATTGATTAATTAGAAATAAGTTTTAGCTGTAGCTTATAAAATTTGTGTATAAAATTTCTTATCTTATGTTTGACTATTGAAGATATGTAATATAGAAATTCTATTCTCAAGTTATTATCCATCATTAATATTAACAACATAATTATTATATCAAATCCTAACATAGAAGACAGACTAATAAACTTAGTGGTTCTGGAGGTCCTAAACATAAGATGGGTTAGTAATACATACCACGCTTTGCTTTTCCTTCTCTCTTCGCTATCAATAAGGCCATAGCATTGCTCCTTTTATCATCTGTACGATTCGCTTCGACATTCTTTTTTCTTTCTTTTGATCTCTCTTTATGATCAAAATAATCAGCTGTACCTTGAGCTCCTTCATCTGATGGGACATCTTTTTCAATATTAAGTACTTTATTTGTTTGATCTACAGATACTGTTTCACTTTTTAAAATTTCGGTAGTGGAAGAAGTTGTTGTTGGTTTTGGCGGTTCCTCAACGACATTTGTTGCTGCTGTACTTACTGGGATCTTTTCTTTTGCTTTCATTTCCATCTCTTTTTTTTTCTTTTTGTCTTTAGATTTTTTCTTCATTGCATCAGTTCTGACTTTGTTTCCTTTTTCTCCACGTCGAGCGAGCTTTAATTTACGTTCGATTTCCCAACGTGTACGTAAGCGATCTCTTTGTTCTATTCGTTTAAAAATTTCAGTCTCACGTTCCTTTTCAGAAAGCCCGTTTAAACGTTTTCGATCCTCTTCATCTCCCATCAAATTTTCATCGTATCCATCATTAAATTCAGAATCAGAGCTACTATATTCATTTGAAGAACCAGATGATTTTGAACTATTGTCTGAAGAATTTTTAGAATTACTATTATTCTCATCATCACTATCGATGACTTCCCCTTCTTCTTGTTCACTAAGTGCTTTGGATGAAACGTCCTCTTTTGGTGGGCTTTGTTTCGTTTGTGGCATATTTTCAGCACTAAAACTTTCGGCATCACTGTCCGCATCCCAGTCTTCCTCTGATGAACCAGAACTTTTACTGATTTTTTTCGTTCGTTTCTTTTTTCGCCCAGCCGAAACATTTGATTTATTTTTGCTCCAGTCTGAATCAGATTCTGACCCTAATACACCTTGAGTACTGCGTGGTTTTTTCGTTTTCCTTGAGAGTGATAGTAGCTCCTATATTTAATAATAATCACATGAAAAATATTTTTCCAGTTATCTTTTAAAAAGCATACCGATTCTAAATTTGTTCCAGATTCATTCCCACTAGCATCAGAATCGATCATTATTTGATTTTTTCGTTTACCCATCCTTTTTAGTTTGTTTTGCTTCTTTTAAATTTATTTTAACTATTTTCTACTTGCCAAAATTAATGTCTATAATATGAAACGAGTTTTTCAGCAGATGCAATAATTTTAATACCAACTTACTGTACGATATTAATCGATATTTTGCACGTCTCTATTATTCACAATAAAGTAACATATGTATTTTTTTAAATATGTAAACAACAAAAAATGCTTTGACTTTTTCCGCGTTGCCAATTTTTAGATGTATGATCTTTGTAAATAAAAGAAAATGTTTGACTTGTATATATGTGAGTTATTCACGATAAGTAAAATTATTTGTAAAAAGTAATATATTTAGTAAATAACAGAAAAATAAATTAATTTATTGTATTACTATAAATTTTTGATACAAATGCATTTTATCATATATTTACATTTGCAGTTTGTCATTAAAATAAAAATTATAAGCGATATTCACTCAGTCTTGCAGTCATTGCAATATCTACAAAATGTAATGTAATAATGCTATACTAAAATTGTAAGATTGTGAAAACACTTCTGTTGCAGAATTCTAATATCAAAATGAAGCAGCTGGTTTTGTAGAATACCACATTCATATGAGAAGCAACATATGTTAAAACTGCTGATTTTTTTCCTTTTTTGTTTCGTTGCAAGCGTATATATATGGGTTTAAGTATAGTAATAGTGCAAGCCAATGCAAGAAAATTTGTACGTGAGTTTGTAAGTAAATCACATTAATTACACATAGTAGCAAGTAAATGCAGTCCGCCTTAAAATTTGCTTTGGTACTGTCTGGGCGGTATAGTGTGACTAATGCTTTGTAATTGTATAGTAGCAAGTAAATGCAATTATTTTTTATATACACGATGTCGTTATTATGAAGTTTACGGTGATAAACGCAGTTGTTGTAAATTTACTGAGGTAAATATTTTGCCCTGAAATATATATGCTGCAGTGCAATTTTAAAGTTTTATGAAAAACACAGATTAGAAGACGAGTCGTTAACATATAAGCAATCAAAAAACTCATTTTTTATCGTAGTTCGCATCGCAATTTAAGGAAAATGCTATTCTTTATTACGTGCTAATGAGTTTTACGAGCTAAATGTAAAATTAAAATGCGATAAATGTTTTTTTTTGAAAGTTTTCAGTGAGAAAAAATTACTAATAAGAAAATGCGTATAATAAAATGAAAGCGATTAAAATTAAATTAAAAATTTTTTAAGAATTTATAGAAATATATTATATTAAATTTGGGGGTCATGAACTTACCGGAATTAATGTAGAAAGCCTAATATTGTAGCGTGAAGAAAGAAAGTTTCTTCAACAAAGTTTCTTAACCAACAATGCAATCAGCTGATTTACCAAGATATCCTAATGTAAAATGAATCTCATCAAAATTCATCGACAGATAAAATATCGTTGTACTCAGTTTACAAGCGCCCAATAAATTTGATTTCAATTCAATTGATTGAATAAACAATATGAATTTACAGAAGTTAAAATTGTATTAAATATATTAATTTAAAAATTACAATGCTATAACTATTGATAATTACACTACTGTCAAAAAAGTTATAGATAAAGTAGTTTGCATGAAAACTAATAAAAACGCAGTGTAGATTATTATTGTTTCATCCTGTGTTCCAACATGATTCATCGCAGTGTATGAGAAAACGTTTTTCGAAATAGAATTATAATTGTTGTTTTTTTTCTTTTGATAAAACTTTAAAATTTTATGTAGCTGATTTTAAAATATATTAAATATATCAAAATGGAACAATATATAATTGATAGTGGAACAGATTTTGTTAAGCTTAATATATCTAACTCAAAAAACGATAGAGTCGCCATAGAAACTAAATTTGCAAAATCTCTTAATGTTGCCGAACTGAAAGTATAAATAAAAAAATATCTATTAGTATTTTTAATAATTGAATAATTTTAATTAGAAAAAATTAGAAGTCATAACTGGAGGTAATGCAAATACAATGGAAATTGAATTGTACAATGGGAATAATTTGATTTGTAAAATAAATGACAACGCAACCATTATAGGCTCATTACCCATAGTTTCTGGTATGAGATTGCATGTTATAGACTCATTTGTGCTGATTGAGCCTGAAGCTGTTGAAAAATTCGAATTATCTGAAGACCAATATGAGAAAAAAACAGATACTGTCCGTAATTTTTTAAAACAAAATCGTCTTGGGAAATACAATGAGGATGAATTGCGTGAAAAAGAGAAAAGGCAAAAGGAGCAAGAAAAATTAGAGCGAGACCGCATAGAGTCATGTAAAATTGGATTGCGCTGCCAAGTAAGTGTTTAAGCAATGCATTTCATTTGAAATTTTATTTTAATTTACTGCTTATTAGGTTCAAGTAAAAGGTAATCCTACGCGTATAGGCACTATTCGTTACAACGGATCTATTGAAGGAAAGAAAGGAACATTCATTGGTGTAGAATATGATGAACCTTTGGGAAAGAATAATGGATCGTAAGTTTATATAGCATCGTTAATATTAAGAGCCTACAATATTTATGTAAATAATTTAAAAATTCTTGTTCACTTATGTAATCTTTAATAGGATATATATATACAATCAAAAGTAAATCAATAATAATTTTTTGAAATCCATAACTTAGCCCCAAAAAAAGGCAATAATAAAGAGTAACGAACAATTATATTGTCTAGTTTATACATATTATTAAATGATTTCCATAAGCTAGTAAAAATAATCAAACACAGTTAACTTTAAAGAAATCCACAAAAATAATTATCTTTTGTATTTTTAGAATAAATGGTAAAAGGTATTTTCAATGCAAAGAAAATTACGGTGGCTTTGTGGCTCCAATATCGGTAGAAGTTGGTGACTTTCCTCCTGATGATATCAATTTAGATGATGAAATATGATTTATACATAACTTTATTTATAATTACTAAATTTAAATATCTTAAGGTATTAAAAAAAAAACTAAAAATGACTGCACTTTTAAATATAATTTAATCTTAATTAATATTTTTGTATTTGCTTTAATGTTTTAATTTTAACATGCGCTTTTGCACCAAGTGAAGTGAGTTTTTTATTTAAATTTTTAAATCATACGAATATAATAAATGTAATAAAAAACTTAAGAATAAGCATTTTATATCATTTAGTACTAATGTTGAATAGAATCACATTGATTTTGGAATATAATTTTATAAATTTCAATTAATAAAATTGTCGTGAATATTATTTAAAAATAATTCAATTAATAAAATTGTCACTATTACATAAAATTTATCTTTTATTTCTTTTATAAAGTAAGTTAAATGCAACATACATTCTTGATATTTAATATTCAAAAAAATGTTATAACTATATTAAGATTCATAAATTTATATATTTCCTATACGATGTTGACATTATTTTATGTCAAAAAAACATTTCCTACTATTCTTTTGTTTACACATAAGTATTTGCTAAGCAAATACAGAACATATTTGAATTTGTACCACTAATAATATGCACGAGGTACTTATAAATTACCAACATCATTAAATCGTTTCAGCTTTTCGGGAAAATTATCTTTAAATAGTACTGGATCTGCTCGAAATTCAACACTTCGTAAAGGCATTCGACCGTATATGCGGGCAAAATGATCAATACAAGCAGAGCGTTCTCTCATGTGGTTTAAGTCTGCCGAAAGCATTTCAGTATTCGTACATTCCGGACATTTAAATTTCTTACGAGGTGTTACTTTTATTGGAGGCTTGTTAGTTATATTTGCCACTAAAAAGTTCATGGCTATGTCTTCACAATTCATGTGATCATCTACCCAAGTTTTTATTTCATTTGGCATTGAATATGTATAGATATTGCTCCAGTATTTATGATGAAAGGCAGCTCCTGTAAGCACCATAGAAATCTGATTCGTCCATTCTGATTCGTAGTGCCAGCGTAGAGTACTATTATCCCATACATGTTTACGACTTGGAAAACCGACTATTCGATCAGGAAACTCACGCCATACCTCAAAACTGAAAATATATAAACAGTTATATAAATTAAGATTTTGAACTTATTTCAATTTTTTATAAAAAAAAGATTTACCCGAAATCCAATTCATCTGCCGTTAACATTATAATATCATCGTCAATAGTGAGCACTGCTTCTGTATTGATTTCATCATAAGGATAAAATCTATTAGAAAGCTTATTTGCTTTTGTCTGAATTACTTTTAACGGTTTTGTAATCGAAGGGAATGAAGAAACTAGAATAAAAAAAATGTATTAAAACAAACTATAATTTATATAATTTGCAAAATTTAAATTACGATGTGGCGGTAACTTCTGTTGATTATTCCATATTACCAGCATACTCTGTAAGGATGGTACTAATGTTAACTTTTGTATGAGAGCATATAGACTCTCAACGCGATCATACGTGAGTATAACCGCTGTGAAACCTTGTGATTTCTGTCCGAATATTGGTAGAAATATTGGATTTGTTACAACATTATTTTCAAATGCATTCCATTGCCGTATCGTTCGAGAATGATGTGGAAAAATACGTTCTTCTAAAAGTTCTAGTGCTGTTAGTGTGATGGTAGAGATATCTTTAAAATATTTTTCATATAGCCAACGTCCTTGTTTTTGTAAACTAAGTATATTGAACTGAGTAACTGAAGACAGTATTTCCATAACAGAACTTAGTTCTTCTTCACGTATACGTATAGATGCCAAAGACCAGTCCAAAACTTCTTCAAAAGGTGCGATATAATTACTTATAGCTATAACAGGAATGCAATTAAATGCAAGCATTTCAATAAGATCAGGTTGACCCAGATAAGAACCACGTGCCAATAAGCAGAATGTTGCATTTGATAACACGTTAGGATATTGAAAAATCTTTTGTTCGGAATTAGCATCACACCTAAATGATTTTACTTCATTATTTTGACATTCTTCTAAAACTAACACATCATCTGGATGACTTTGTCCCAGTGATTTTACAATGCGAAAATATTCTGGTAAAATATTTAACTGACCCAGTATTACAAAATATTTTTTTGGTAAATAAGAATCGTAGTTTATTTTACCAATGGAATGTAAAAGTGGACTCCAGACAGGTAATGATATATCAAAGTCAGAACGATATGTCCAAGAATTAAAACTTCCTCCAAATACGATTGATTTATCTGTATTAATCGGATTATTCCCTGGAAGCATATTAAATAGTACATGATTTTCACCATTTTCCCAGTAATCTAAAGATGCAAGTGCTCTATTAACAAGTGCAGGTTCAGTTAATCTTTGGTTAAGTAAGTCAATGCTTGGTAAAAAAATACAAGCTTTATTTGGATTAGATGTATAATAGGGACTATTAGCTATTGTTTTGAGTATTTCATAATATTCCTTCGTAAGAGTATATGCAGACTTTCCGTTTTGTTCACTTATGTAATCTTTAATAGGATATATATATACAGTCAAACTGTTATGCCCTTCCTGACCGCAACGATATAGGTTCAAGCAGTTCCATACACTACAATTTGGATTTCTTGGTTGTGTTTCTGGCGAATCTGCTGACAAAGTCACTTCACGAATTTGATCCAAATCAAGTGAAAAGCTATTGCTGTAAGTCAACGCATTTCTGTTGTTGCGCCAGTCCAATAGTAAATAAAAACCGCTGATTGTAAGTATTGCAATTAATATATAAGTGAAAATATTAAATATTCGTTCATTTCTTTGTAAATGTTTTGATATATCCGTTGTTAATATTTTTGCCATTTCTCGGAAGTTATTTCACACAGTTTTTAACGTTTACTTATTCTCATTTTTATTCGTAAACAAATTGTCTATTGTTTTTTTAGAAAAATGTGTACACAAGTAACAATCAAATATTAGATATTGAATGAACATATGTTTTGCAGACACCTTGTAGGAAAAAATATTAATAATGTTTGTGAGACGTGCAGATTTATTAGTAGCTTTTGTGCTTTGAATGTACATACACTCAAAACTTTTTTATAAAATATTCTTTTATTTATTTTGGAAGTTAAAGTAGTTTTAAGTTAAAGAAATTTAAATAATTTATTATTTATTATATTTATAATAAAGAAATTATTAAGGTCGTGTGCGAGTTAGGCTAAGTTGCGTTCTAAATGTGGGAAATTCTAAGTTGTGCCGATAATGTAGTGATGTGTCGATACGTGTTGATAAATGGCCAAATGTGTGCAGTGTAAAAAATCCGAAAAAATCTCCCATTTGGTTTAGCATCAACTTAGCCTAACTCGCACACGTCCTAAGTATTATATTTTAATAAAGATATATTAATAACAAAAAATTAAAATACGATATAATTATTCTTATATATATTATATTAATTTATGAACAACGATAACGGTATAATTGTTTGTTACATTGCTGCATTTTCAATTCAAGGAGGGAAGTGATTAAAAAAGAAATCTTGTATTTTTTATATAATTTTATTTATTTTAATCCTTTTTTAATTTTATCATTTCCCTCTATATTACCTTGAATTATAATCTTTCTGATAACTAGTTATTTAATTTTAGAATTTTTTAAGCACTGGTTAAATGCTTAGTTTGGTTAGTAAGGCCCATATCATGTATAGTGTCACGGGCACGTCAAAGTTGGATCTTTCGGGTTATGATGAAAGTGTATGTTATGCAGAGTGTCACATCAGTTTTCAATTTCGTGTTTTACTAATAATTTTGGTCGTGTGCGAGTTAGGCTAACTTGATGCTAAACCAAATGGGAGATTTTTTGGGATTTTTTGTACTGCACACATTTTGCCATTTATCAACACGTATCGACACATCACTACATTATCGGCACAACTTAGAATTTCCCTCATTTAGAACGCAACTTAGCCTAACTCGCACAAGACCTTTGTACTTTTAGTTGTGCCTAAATTTTAAAGGATATATACATACAAACATACAACACGGCTTTGACTAAGTGACGAGGCACAGATAGCCTCGGCTCTCATGACCAAATTTATACTGATAATTGTAATTAATATATATGTAATATATATTATTTATATGAGTGGTAAATATATTATAATAGTTAAAATAATGTTCAAATAATATTACAACATCAGGTATTGCTTTTTCTCAATTCTTACTATTCAATTACTAAAGCCTGATATACACGATGCTACATGTATGCCAAACAAGTATGCCACGCTACCAACTCTTACTGTGTATATTCAAGTATGCATACAAAATTTTGGTTTAGAGACATATATGCGATAATATTATACTTGCTATACATAATGCATACTTGGTGTGCATACAAGTTACATAATTTAAATCATGTTTAAAGAATTAAAATCTTTTTAAGCGGCGCAGGTGATTATATGTAATGAAAAATAAAGGCAAATATAAAAGTAACATAACTTTACCACCATCTATACACTACTATCATATATATATATATATATATATATATATATATATATTTATCAAAGAGCAAAACATTATTTTATTTTAAGTATTTATAAAACTTAATATTGCACACAATGTTACGTTCTATTGTAGAAGAGGACATTATTAAATGTAAAATCTATTAAACCATATTATAATATAAAAATATTATTTTTACTTTAATTTATTATTATTATTTTTACTATAACAATATTAATTATTATACTTTAATTATTTAATTATATTATGTTTACTTTAATTATATCAGCATATATATATAAAAAATATATTTAAAAAATATATATGCTGAAATTCGCAGTGTATTTTTAGTTTAACAAGTATGTGCATACATTTTTTTTGGGTGGCATCACTATCATGCAATATTATAGAATTAAATTTTAGTATTGATGATTGGATCATACTTTTAAGGAATTTCAAAGAACGGCAGAGGTAGAAGTTAATGCGGTTCGAATGCGTTCGTGCTGAAGTCTGCCAATGCATATTAATAAAAAATAATTAATTTTAATTAAAAATGTGCATTATTTTGTGATTTTGGGATTAAAATATACAATATTACAAAACAAACAAATTAAAAGTGCAGCTTCATAGTACTGGTGAGATAAAATTCTAGATATAAAGCTTTTCATTATGATGGAAATATTTTTGCAAACTATATATGGATTATACTGTATAAAATAGTGTATATCGAATTTTTTTGACATTCTTGTATAGAGACTAACTGACCTTCAATCTTATAGCACAGTGATATTAGTTTTTCTAGTTAAGAAGTTACTTAAGTGTTCTGAATTCTCGTACATGTCTTGTTTGTTTTTCTAATTACTAATCGCTTACTAAAGTACACAAAAATGTTTTTTTCTTTCTCTTTATTAAAATATGTAGAAATTATTTTCAATATATATATATATTATAAAACATACTAAAATATGTATCTGATTTCAAAATGAAATATATCGTTAAGATAAAATGAAGATATATTTTTATCGGAAGTAATATTCTTTAAACTATTTTTGTGGTCTTGTAATCTTATCTGTTGGCTTACTTAAATCCAATTAAAAAATTTATGTAACATTAAGTTTTACTTTCTATTTTATTTGATAAAATAACATAATTTGTTATATATTTCTTTAAAAATTTTTTGTCTAATATAATTTGAAATTTCTTAAAACCGATTGAAAAGGATTGAATTGTCAAGTCCTTGAAAATATGACTATCGTATACACAAAGGTACGTCATCAAACATAAATTATGTTGACGTAATACATCTGACTAATTTACAATCAACATATATAAATCAAAGTATTTATACATTTATACGAAAATTAATTTTTTTTATGTACTTTAAATTAATAATATAATTGTTATCTATTATCTTAGCGGAATTGATAGTGAAATTAATTAAAAGAAGCTTTTGGAAGAAACTGAACTCAACTCAGCATGATTTCTAGAAATATTCAATATTTTTTAACGTTTTATCTACTCTTAGGAATTTTACATAAAGGTAAATAAAATTTTTTTATCAAGATTTGATTATTATTTCATATTTTGCATATAATAATATATATATTATTTTTTAGGATTTTGTGGGAAAATCCAAGATGACCCAAATAGCACAAACGATTACTTGAGTGATGACTACGTTTATGATGATGAAGACGATATAAGTAAACCAAATAGTAATGAACAAGTTTCTATAAATCCTCTTTTACCAACAATGGACCCACCATACTTTGTACATGATGAAATGAATAGTCATGCTAATCCCGGTGAAGACGTACTTCTAAACTGTGATGTGCGAAATTTTCAAAGTACGTACTAAATAAATAAATTTTTATTTTTAATACTTATCTCACCTCTTTTCTTATATCTTCACAAAAAACAACAAAATTGCTTACTTGAAAAACATTGAAACTATTGTCGCAATTATTATCTAATTATTATATTTATAAAAAATGGTCCGAGTAATTGTTAGATTATCTGTTCTTTTCAAAATCGTTTTCTTATAGAAACGTATTATTTGTTTTAATTAATTATTTTCATATATTCATTCATTAATTTTGTTACAAATAATTGTAAGAATCTTAAAAATGTGGTCACTTTATTTTCAATAATATTAAGCATTTTAAAGAAAAAAGATGATTTGCAAGTTTATTCATTTTAGGAAAACAATAGCTTAAAACTTTTCAGTTCTATTAAATCGAATTCGGTTCTAAAAATTGACATATTAATACAATTTAATACAAAGAAGCAATGGAGTTCAATATTTGATGTAGTATGTATTGTTTCCTTTTAATATTTGGAAACATTGGTTCCAATAAAAGCAGAATACTACGACTATATAACCGATTTTGTGCTGCTTCTATAATATTAATCAATGTCAAAACGTATGATATTTCAATGATAATAAGTACTTTATTTCAAAAATCTTATCATTTTATATTATCACTTTATATGAATTTTTATCCGATTTATTTGGATTGATGTATTTCTCACTTTTAGCGTGTTAATTTAAGTAATTAGAAAATACTATTATTCCTAATTATAACGTGATGTTTTATTTTGTTTTTTACGACTAAGTGTAATATACGGGGCACTCTTATATTTACTACTTTCATAACGCTTGTTCGATTTTTTTTATTGTATATATAGTGAAAGTATTATCTTGTTATTTTCGATTTTGTTTTGAATTAAATCTTCGATAAAATTTATTTTTGTTGTTTTTTAAATACTGTTATAAAGGAATTAAAATATAGTTAAAATAAAATTATTGTTAACTTTTTAATATATATGTGACATGCAGAAGAAAAATCCTAAAAACTTATATGTATACCTATATATGTATACAGTTTGTCTATCTAGTCAGGATAGCATAGCTTTGGCTAAAAACGCCAACGCTTATAACAATATTGTTATCTGTGTTATTTTCTATTTGTATATAATTTTGTAAAGAATTAATAATATCAAATATGTACATATTTTTTACAGTTAATAATGTTATATTATGGTATAAGGAAAATATCTCGATTTCTAATGGTCAATTTGTAACACGTAATCGAATAGAGAGTTATAAAAATAATACAATACGCATTAAGAATGTGCAGATCGAAGATGCAGGCAATTACTACTGTCAACTACTACCCCAAAATAAAAGTCTTCACATAACACTTTCGGTGGGAGGACGTTTATCAATTTTATGTGATGGTCGAGATGTAACAGAACGTTCCGTAATACTACGTGAAGGTGACACTCATGTATTTGAATGCAAAATTTATACGTCACAATCAACAAATGTGAAATGGTCCTTTAATGTAAGAAAAAATTTTTTTGTAATATAATTTATTACACTTCGGTAATATATTATTTTTTTTATAGGGTCAACGTGCAGAAAATGTTGTTACTGAAATTAATGGTACTAAATTGACCATTGACGGAATAAGTGCAGAACATGCTGGTATATATCAGTGTCTTGGAGATGATGGAACATCAGAACCACCTAATGGCATGGTTACAGTAGATGTGCAGTATAGTCCGAAACTATCAACACATCGTCGTTATGTAAACACACAAAAGAATTCTAAAGCCGAACTATACTGTGATTTCAAAGCTAATCCAATTTCAATATCAAAATGGTTAAGAAATGAAAAAGTATTAGGATATTCTGAAAAATATATGGTAAAAAATGTTGTGCTAAATGGACATAATAGAACTATTTTGACTATTGCTGATACTACTTCAGATGATTTAGGTGAATATTTTTGTCATGTTGAGGTAAGTATTGAATACATAGTGTTTATGTCATATTTTATATTACATTTAAAATTCAGTGCGAAAAGTGCATATACAATATATTTTTATAACGCAACATTTGATTATACTTTAATTGGGTTTTTATATATTGATCATAAATTTATTTATTTATTATGTATAGAACTCGGTTGGTTTTGACAAACTGAAAATACGTCTCATATTCGAACCTGAATTACCGCAATTTGAAGATATTAAAATTGATGGAAGGAAGGTTAGAATGCAATGGTTGGTTAGAAGTGTGCAACCACTTTCGGAAGCGGTTCTGAGTTATCAAATAGAAGGTGTAAGTTTTTAAAGATAAAATAATTTTTTTTTGCCCTGTACAATACCTTTTTCGATCACAACGGTGCACTTTTGCTTTTGCTGGAATAAAATAATTCTTAAAATTATACTCTTAATACCAGAACCCGTATTTCTATAATAAAGGAATCTGAATATAGGCGAACAATAGCAAAACGTTGAAAGAACTTTTTAATTTATGGAGTTATAAAATTGTTTTGAAATCAAAAAAAATCTATATACTATTATATATAAGTTTTTTATTTATGTGTATACTTAATATGTATTTAAAATAAATTATTATATAAAATATTAACCAGTATATAATAAATCTTTTCTTTAGTCTTACACATGGAGCACAGTTTCTGTAATTCATACACAACGTCATGGTGAAAACACTGATATGTGGAAGATAACTCATGAAATGGAGTTAATACCTGGAAATTGGCATGCTCGAATGAAAGCTAAAAATACGGTTGGATGGTCTGAATTTTCTGCTGCACATAATTTTAAAATTAAACACGATAATGAAGGTATAAAATTATTATTTAATTAAAAAGAATTTTTTTGTTTTATGTTATTATAATTGTTGAAATTAAAGAAATAAAAGACGTTGAATCGCTACCCCCTGACGAAATTGTTAAATCTGCAGGAATTGGATTAGGAAACAAGAATAACAGTGGAGTAAGTGTTAAAATAAATAAAAACATTATTGCTGCGGTATTGCTTGTATTAATTGTTATATGGGAAAAATGTTAGTTATTGAAAACATTTTGAAAGTAGGTGCATTACAGTGCTAATCAAAATGAACGCAACACAGGTACATAAATCTATATTAATTTTCAATTTCCTTTGGTTTAACTGTTTTTCCTTATTTATATTTGCACTTCTTAAATTTTTGTTTTATCGTGCTGCCAGTAGATACAGTTATGTGTTCATAATTAAAAAAATTATATATATTATTTAAATAATTTATTCCATTTTTGAAAATTTTCATTATAAAAGTCTTATAATAGGAATTATAAAAAAAAAAAAACAAATCAAAATAAATATATACAATATATTTATATTAAAAACACTTTGTATAATATAATTATATGCATAATACATATGCATATATACATAATAAAATGGGATATATGATTTATAATATAATAAAATAAATAAAGAATAATAAAAATGCAATAAATATAATAAAATAACAATATTTATAAATTTAACGATTCGAATATTGAAATTTTGAATTGAATTGTATTTTTTCGGGTTATAACTTGTAGTTCCTTAAAGGATGGGTATATAAAAAATAATTGATTTACATTTATTTATAGAATGTTTTTTTTTACAAATATATTTCACTGTTACTCCAGAATTCATGCATTTATTATCATTATTTCATTATTTGATATTATTTATTTCACTATTTTATTTATTTGATAAATAAATTGAAGTCAAGTGTCAAATAATATAGTCACAGTTCTTTAAAAGGGTAAAATATGCTTAACAAAATACCATTTTAGGTTGTCATGAAATTTTTTTAAAATAATTTTACATCAAGTGCTTTTTTATTATATTTTATTAATATTGGAGTTAAATCTTCTAATCTAATTTTAAACAGTGGAGGTTACACAGCACACGCATAATTTACGAAGGGATATTCTACGCCCGTAAACTAATGCTATTTTATGTTTTTTTTTTTGTAAGGTATATTCTCACATATACCATATATGTCCAATACTAAAGCTTTTGGAATTAGCTCTTTTTTAAAACCAATTCACTTGATGATTTTTTGTGGTTGGTATTGCAATATCAAAAATTGCGATTATATTTATATATTTATATTTAATTGATTGGAAATTATATTGTCCAGTTTATTAGCAGCTATTGTTAAATCTGTGGTTAAATCTCTGTTATAGAATACTTTAATTTTCAAGCACTGAGAGTGTATGGTATTTAAAGCAACATCCATATTACTACGAAGTCATGAGGTTTTGACAATATTTAATGCATTATTTTGATCGTATTGTTATATATGATGTAATATATCAAGGCCAACTAACATGACATAATCTTAACAGCTAAAGTGTTACATCCTAATTTTATTCGGTCAATTACTTTTACTTTTGCTCCACATTGTCGGCATCTATTTACACATTTTTTATTTTGTTATTTATTATATATATTAGTTTGTTATTATTACATATGTATGTTATTAATGTTATAATTTTTTTATTATTATTATCATATTGTTATTATTATTATTTTTATATTATTTACCTATCCTAAAACTTATAACGATATAGCCCGATTAAATAAAAATCAAATAATAAATTATTAATATTTAAAAAAAATGATTATTTCTACTATTTTGTTCGATACATATAAAATATATATATCTAATACTTGTTTGAATAGTAATTTGAATTAAAATGTTTTGAAACGTAGAGGAAAATTGCAAAATTGTTTAAAATGTCAGTGTTCAATAAACGCTTCAGAGTGTCGTGAAAAATATAATATATTGAAGAATCTATAATCTAAGAAAATTATATTAAAAATAAATTCGTTATCGTAAAATTTCATATGTAACAAATTTTTCAGTATATAAGACATCTTTATAGCACAACTTTTTCAATCTCAGACTTTACATCTATTAACATATATAATGATTTTTGTTTAAAGTAGAAATAGATAAGATCGCAACATAAACACAACGAAAAATTTGTGTTTCCAATTATATTAAAAATATTTTAGAAAAATAAGAACGTTCTGTGGAATATCTATATTTGATCTAAAAATATTTAAAAAAAATAATACAGAAAAACAAATGAATACGTTTCATTGGCAACGGTATAGTTGGGTAGAGAAAAAGGTGTCTAAATCATCTTTAATTATCTTGAAAATCTCTCTAATTTCACTGCATTATGGCGTACATGTATGCTAAGTCAAACTCTCTTTTAAAGACAGTGTTTTTAATGCTGTTGTTATCGTTAAAAATCTAATGGAAAGTACAAGTTGTAGACCAAAAAATCCCTGGAGATATATTAAGAGTAACGAAATGTAATAAGGTAAAATTAGTAAAGAAATAGTAAATCAAGAAAATATTTGTGTACAGAATGCAGTTTTATGTTATAAAATTGTATATGGTGGAGTAATTTAATAGACGTTGTCCATTTATATAAATAATTAAAAAAAATTATTCAGTATATGAACTCTTATTTACTAAATAACACAAACGATTCTATCACAGTACATATATCAAATAATTATAAAGATAAAACTTAATTAGTTTTGAAATGCAAATATAAAAAAATCAGTTTATTTTTAATTTTTTGCAATGGAAAAGAATTTTATTTATTACAAAACAAATTATAAATAAATATCATTTATTTCGAAATAAATTTTTCATTTTTAATAATGAAAAGGTCTTTTCAAACTTGATTGTATTTGTGAGCCTGTGTTGCTATTATAATTATACAATATCTAGAACAGAACTATTTATACTTTGTCTAATTATAATTTGTATTTTTAAAAATGTAATTTTGTATATTTGTGTTTTTGAATTTATTAGTACTTAGTATTGTTGATTTACTGTGTTACACAAAAAATATTTTTTAATAATATTTTGAGTATATTCTTAGCTAAACTCTATCTAAATATTTTAAATTATGAGAGCTAGCTTTAAAAAACCTTTTTGAAAAGATACTTATTTTCTAAATTTATAAAAACCTGATATAGTTATTAATAGTTATTTGTTGCTCATTTATTTACCATATAGTTATGCTAATTAATTAATAAACATTTTCCAACACAACTGCTTTAAAACAAAGAAAAACCTGAGTACCTAATATATCTATGTACCTAAGCTAATTTAATGTTGTAACATAGAAGAATACTTAAATCTCTACATATATCAATCACCTTAACATTTTTAAAAGTTTTAAAAAAATACTGAATATTTTCTGAAAAATATGTCTCGCAAATATCAACTTTTGATTTTAAGCTAATAATATATTTTTTTTAAAAAGACTACACACACACACTCGTCCTATTTTTATAATGCGTAAAAACCAAACAGTCCTATTTAAACCTAGATTAGAACAGAATATATTTTCTATTGAGTACTTAAAATGATTATAAGTAAAACTTATAAATTAAAAATAATTTAAAAATTATCTTTTCAAAACTTTTATAATCAAATGCTTTATACCTAAAATATATTAATTTATTTATTAAGCTTACAAAAATAAGCCAGTCAAAACACAGTTTGTATATTAAATTTTTTTATAGTAAAATTATAACGTTTTGTATTTAGATTATTCGTTATTTTAAATTGTGTTAGTGCCTTATTATATACAGTTGTTTAAACGAATATTAATAAATCGTATAGTTTTTTAATTATTATTGGCATAAGTAGTACTTAAATATATTTGCTAGAAAAATATTTTAAAAAGGATAAATATTTGAAAAAATTAAATAAAGGTATTAAATATGTTTATATGTCAAAATAGAAAAAAATATTAAAACATTGCACTTATTATATTGTATTTACATTGGAAGCCATATATAATGTGATAATAAAACAAAAAATTAAATCAGTATTTTTATTTATGTAAAACCTAATAAATTTTATTTAAATTTTTCATATAATAGGTGCTTTAATTGTTGTAAAGAAAATACATTTTATTTTTAAATATTGCATATTTCTTCATGCTTTACAAAAAAATAAATTTCAGAATCAATAATAAAGAAAAATATATATTGAAAAACTACACAGTTGTTTTTTATTTTAATACTATTTTAATATTAAAAAGTTTATATGTGTTGAGAATTAATAAAATTTCTTTGTGGAGTAGAATAATTTTATAATCTTAACCATTTAAACCATTAACTTTAATTTAACTTAATGGGTTTTTAGGCAAATTGCAGTTGTGGTTTACACATGAACAATAACATAATATTAAATAAAAATGCATCAAAACCAATGCAATGGAAATAATATCAGTGAGTGCTTTTAACATTTCATACTAATGCAGTATGCACTACGAGACCACGGTAGCATATTTGGGTTTTTAGTTTTTGCCTCCATGCGGTCATTGGTTCAACCCGATTGAGGTGATAGGGTTTCTCCGCTAGTTTCAATTATTTCCATTTATCATCCAGCTCCTTGTTCTTCTGTACTGTACTGTTACATAATTCATCCAAGTCCCTTTTAAGCACGCCTTTTCGTCCATTTATTTACCCACTGGGACCCAATAGACTACTTTTAAAACAACATTTTTATGCCAATGTAGATAAGTTTATAAGATTTTGGCTATGAATTTGTAAATTTTTACACAAAAACACAAAAACAAGATCTTCTTTTTGTACTAATGTAGTCAATGTAAAAAGTCTGTAACCTTATAGCTTGATATCTGAAAAAGCAAGTTCCAACAAGTGAATTATGCAGAAATTGCCAAGATGAAAAGGAGGTAGAATTTATCAACCACTCCCTGTGTCTATATCCAGGACTGCAGACAAGGTGACTTCAATGTCTTAGGGAGCGCTTTTTCACTGGCCTGAAAGAGATAACGAAAGCAAACTTATTGGATCTTTTCAACTTCATCTGGAAAACCAAATGATTTAACAAGGATAACAAAGGTTGGCAACTTGCCTCTCCCGGCATAATTTTTGAGGCCATCACAATGGGCAATATACCATATGCCTCCAAGTGGAAGTGTTGACAACTGTCAGCACGCGCCTTCTGAACCTAACCTAACCTTTGCTACCCAAACAAGACATTATTTAAAATAGTAAACAAAAATTAAGAGGTTGGCTTCAAGTATCGTGCATTTGATTCACGAATAATATATTTGTCTTTGAGATAAATAGATACTTTTTCCAAAGGTTTTACTTTTGCATACTCGATTATTAAAGTAGAATCAGGTCTACAGCGAGGCGATTTATTTA